CTGCTGATCTGTGATCTTTCTACACCTCATGCAAAACTGTTTAAGCTGGCTCCAAAGACTGAACTTTCATAGACACTTTTAGAAAAAGGGATTAAATGTTTTTTTGCATGTCCAAAGGCTCAAGGAGCAGATAAAGTCTGGGCTAGTCCTGCCATGAGGAGGAGATGAATAGGGCCACTGGGGTGGAGATGGAACAGAGAGCTCCAGGGACAGCTGTGTAGAGACAGATTTGCCACTTCTGTGACATGTCATTGGGACTCCTGGGACCCACCTATTCCACTGCCATGAGCAGCAGCTGCTCCATCTCACACAGCGGCTTGTGACTACTGATTTCATTTTCACAAATCACTGCATGGAGATGGGGATGAATTGCCAGTTGGCCCCTGTCAACAGCAGACCCTGCTGGTTCGCTTCACCCAGAGATGACAGGGACATAGAGATAGAAAGTTCTCCTCAAGCACTTTTCAATGTGAGCATGGAGGCAGAGAGAAGACAGAGAATAGAGCGGATGGTCTGGAAAAAACCTATGCATCAAGAATTCAGATATGGTAGGCAGCTTGGAAAACACATGACTCAATCTCCCCACCTGAAGATGGAATTAATGCCTTCCAATTCAATGCCCACATCTCTAAATATGCTGTCCTATAACAGTGATTTTTTAAGATGTTAGGAATACTCTTACAAAAAGTACTCATGTTCACAAGTGTTTACACATTCTAAAGTGCCACATTCCCAGCACAGTTCTACATTTGTAACTAGTGAAAAACTGTCTGAATTATTTATGAAAATAATTTTGATCTGTTAAATCATTTACAAAGTCACCAGCTGCATATAATTTTTTAAGTAACTTCTACAGCCAGGTATAAATTCAAAACAAAAATATGAGGGAGGGGAGAAAAAATAATTAAATATTAGCTTGAAAGAAAAAGGCAAGCATATTGCTGCCAATCCTCAACAGATACTAAACAGCTCCACTTACCTGAAGATTCCTATTTATATCTTGTATTAGCATTTTTAAGGTTTTCTGTGATAAATTAAAGAGAAATGAAGGCCTGATCCTGCTGGCACAGAGTGGCACACACATGCACACAGGATATTTAGAAAATAGATGCCTTACTTTAATGTCATTATGTAGACCTACTGATTCCTTCAAGTGTTTATCTTGTAATACACATGCATCTAAAAGACCTTGAAATGATCAGTTTAGCCCCCACAAGCTAGAACTCACCAAGGACTAAGAGCTGCAGTACTTACCCAGGCAGCTGGGACAAAAGAGGGATTAGCCTACAAAGAATTTTGTGTTGATGTCCTGTTGCTAGCACTAAACTGGCCAGCTCTGCTTGTCAATGTGTAGTGAAGTTATTGCACCACACACACCTTTGCTTTGAGTGAAGGCATCAGCCTGGCCACAGTCCTCTCCTTGTGGCCACCAGCTCTGCACACATGTCCTGTGCGAGCCTCTCTTGTAAGTAAGTAAGAAGCAGTAGGAGTTGGTAGGAATTTTCTATTTGTTTTCCTGCCTCCCCCTGAATCCATTCTACCTCCATAACATCCATTGATGAGAAGACTTTCTGGCCTTCCTATTCTATCTTTTCTTGTTTTTTCTGAATCTTGGCCCTGATATCTTTACCAGCTTTCTCAAAATGTTGCAATCGAAGGAACAGTTATCTTCTATTCATCGTCTCCATGTCACTCATGACTTTATAAATGAGTTGTGCATCCTCTCTAACTGGTCTCTTTTCCATTATGAAAATTTGTAGCTTAATAGATCTCAGTCATTCCTACAAAAACAGCTTGTATATATCTGAAGATTATCATTGATTATCCCAACCTGTTCTACTTCATTCTTTCAAACTTCACCATAGCTCATACACTATACAACCCCTAATGTCCTTGGTGTTTTCCTCTAAAATCCCCCCATCCCTCTCAAAGTGTGCATCCAAAAGGTGACACTGCCTGGCAGAATAATCCTTCCCATCTCTCACAGTAATTCTCTAAATATAGTCCAAGTTTTTTGCACTAGCTTTGCAACAGCCTTTTATTTTTCACTGAGACTCACTCTGGGATTCATTTCTACACCATTCCACCTTCCCCTGCTTCCTGGCTGATCAATACACATTTGGTATTTGTGCAATTGGATATCCCTTACTACATGCAACACTTAATATTTGTACTTCATGCTGTTGCTTTCAGGTCATTTATTGATGTTGAGCTTTACACATGCCATTCCTCTGACAATTGCTGGTGCGCTCAGGGGATGGACTTCAATAAAAACTCACTTGGAAGCAATTCTTCCTGGGACTTAGACTAGCTGGAGCACAGAGTGTTACATTGCCAAAAAGAGAGCTGGAAAGAGGAAATCCACTTTCAAGAAATGTATCTCTGGTTTCTGAGGAGTTACATACACTACTTAGACCTCACTGCCTTTTGATCACACAGAATTAAAATGTTGGTGATCATGAATGGCCCACATAGATGGGAAGTTGACAGGAACTATACCCAGCTGATGGCAAGTAAAGAATGTATCTTCTAAGAGTCGTGTGAAATCCTTTCATGATCTAAATAAAAGTTAGGAGGCAGAAAAAAAAAAAAAATTGCAAATTCAAAACCAAATTAACAGCCCCCAAAAAACCCCCACAAGTAAAAAAAAAACATTACTATTACCTTGACCATTTCCTGGGAGTATTTTGTAAGGCCCTGGATTAATTTTCAAATGTGGTTCCCATAACTGTCTTTTAGTGGAAAACCAGTGCCTCTACGACCATGCCTTGCACTGAGACTTTCAGACTGCTGCTGGCAGCCTCAGAGAGGAACCACCAGAACCCAGCCTTTATTTCTTGTGTCATATGGTACTACTATTTAGAGAGAAATAATAAGCATAAAGGAAAAGTGCTTGATGAAAGCAGAAATAAAAATAAAACTGATGATACATCAGAATTCATGAGAAGGTCAGATTATTTGACAATTTGGAGAAGTGAATTTTCCACATTACTGGCATTTTGAAAGAAAATCTGTTATCCTGATTGATGCAAAATAAATAAATAAATAAATAAATAAAATAAATAAATCAATAAACAGGCCTAATTCTAATGTTCTAGAAGTCTTATATTACTTGCCCCTTATTATTGTATTCAAGATTTGCCCTAGCTAAGGGTGCAGGCACCCTGGCTGGGAAAAGCAGACACACATTTCATGCCAGAGTTGAACCCAGGCTGTCACCACATGTGCTAGAAGCAGGAGAACACCTTCGGGTTCCTCTGAGAGATTTTCCTCAGAAATTCTCCCTGACATATAGAGAAGGAAGTTTTGATTACCAGATGTTTGAATTTTTAATTTTTTTTCCCACAGTTTTTTCTATGTATAAATGTATCCATCTTCCCAGTTGTCATTAAAAGTGAGCATTTTCTCAGCAGTCAGGAAGAATGTCAGTGATTTCTTTCAGATTCTTGTAACAGGAAATTCTGTTCTCATTTCTGGCAAATGCCACTATCCTCACAGCTTTTAGCATTTAATGGTTTTTCAGCTATGAAATTCTTATTCTGTGAAAAAACCCAATGCAAATCCAAGAAAAACTCACAAACAAGAAATGCAATTGTGGTCACAGCTAAATTCTATATCAAGTTTTCCATCAAAATTGTGGCAAAAACATCTGTATGACAACATCTACTTTGGCTCTCTGTTTGCTGGCATTTCTAACCTCACCATGCTAAGGACAGATCTTGCCTCTGGACACAGTGGATACACAGGATCTCCTTAGGTGTAATTAGGGGAACAGAGATTGCAGATCCCTCTATTAAATATAACCATCCATTTCCCACATCTGGGACAACACTGATTTCCACTGACAACAAGGAAAAAAAATATCAATGCTTTCCATTGGCTTTTTGGAGGGAGAGCTGCCCTTGACTCCAACCCACACAGAGGTGCCACCTGGCTGAAGAAAAATACTTCTGAAAGACTTTTTCTTCTCTCAACAGTTTCTGTGTGTCTTTCTCTGTAACCTGCCCAGTTTTTCACAGCAGGAAAAGAAGAGGTTACCCAGAGAAAGCCAGAAGGGTGTTGCTTCTGTGTGTGGCACAGACAGCAGCTTCTCTTGATCTCCATGGGCTGATGCCCATTGCCATGGCTTTAACAGCAGGCTGTAAAGCCTTGTAGCTCACAAAAAAAACCAAAAAATAAACCAAACAGAGAGAGAAAAAGTGAGTTTAATTCTTGGTTGCCTGGGAATCCTATCAATTCTCTCATTCATGGGTGCTTCTGGACCAGGCACTCTCAGTCACAGAGTACCCTTGGTCCTCACAGTTCTGGCTTGACCCTCTTTGCAGGGAGCAGCACAGGGCTAGCAACAACAATCTTTCTCCATCAGCACTGGCCACTGGCCCTTTACAATGCCTTTCCCTTTCTAGCATGCCTTTCCAAGCCAGGACAGGGACTTTTCACCCTGACAGCACTGCCCTGGGGCTAGGGGGTACAAACAGAGTCTGTTACCATTGGCCAAAGGGAACGGTTCTGTAAATGGAAGACATTAAAAAGGAATGGCACACCTCTGACTCTGTTGGTTGGGAATTTCTCCTACCTCCAATGCTCTAGCACCCAGGGGAAGGGGACAGGCAAGACCTTCCTAAAATGATGCTATACAGAGGAAATGTGTCCTCCAAAGAGTCCATGGGAATAATGAGGTGCAATAAAGGCAAACTTAAGAGAGTTATTGGAGGCCCCAGTGCGCAGTCCTCTACAGATGACATTTTTAGTGCCTCAAAGATGAGGAGCTTAGTGGAAAATCAATGCATTTCTGAGGGAAAGGAGCCAACAGAGCTTAAACTGCTCCCAGTGACTGCAGGCCTACGAGAGCCTGCAGAACCCTCCTGAGCCAACCCCCAGCTCTGTGTGGTGGCTGAAGACCATCTCCTCACCCAGCACAGGCTGAAGGAAGGGGCTGCTGCCAGGCACAGCATGGCCCCAAGACTGTGGTGTCACAGGCAGCTCCCATGTCACTCAGAAGTGCCTCCACAGAGGCAATGCTAACACAAAGGAACAAGCACAAGCTCAGCTCTGGTTATGGAACAGGAGTCTCCCTGTCCTCCTCATAACTGAATTCATGCCAGTAAGCCAGGAAAGGAGTGCAAGAGAGCCCAGGCCCAGAGCTGTTTGACTCTTGCCTGCCTGAGAGCTGTTGTGAGTCAGCCAGAGAGACGGACGGAGAGGACCATAATTCTCAGGATGGCAGCATCCTTGGTGCTGTCCCGTCCAGGTGTGGGAATGAGCAGCTTTGGGGCAGTGGTAGCTTACCTGGGGAGAGCTGCCCTCCTGCTTCTGCTCAGTCTGCAGTGCAGCTGACTTGTCTGGAGCAAGCTTCCAGGAAAAACAAAAAAAGCAGGCTGGGCAAAGTCTGCTCACAGGCTGTGCTGCAGCAGGAGCATCCATCTTAGATCCAGTGGAGGAGGAGAGCTTGGACCAGCTCCCTTTTTAAAGCAACAGTGCTCCCACTGAGCATGGCAAGGAAGGGGAGTGCTATGCCCCAGCATTGGTTGTCCTGGATGTCTGCAGAGCACTTTATAGGCATTACCTAATTGATCTTTGCAAATCTTTCCTTTCAGCAATTAAACAACACCTTTCAAGATTTACAGGTCCAGAAAATAAGGTGAGCTAATGCCACCTGGTGCAGAAGTAGCCATGATTTTAGGGTGCCTGGACCAAAAGTCTTTTGGTCTGATTTTGTTGGTGCATCTACAGGTTTGTCTGACTCTGACAGCACAGAACATCTGTATTCTGCTTGTAAATAAGAGTGAACATCTTCTTTTAAAAGCCAACCTCAGGGGTATTTTGAGTTGGAAATGTTAAAAAGCAGGCACACCAAATCACTAACCCTAAGGATAATGATAGCTTTTATGACTAAAGATATCTGAGAAGAAAAGTCTAGAGTCAGGTTTAATCAGATTTTGTCTGTCTGCTTCTTTTTATGCATCTAGACAGGCTGTGGCTTCCCCATGGATTCCTTTGGACCTGCTGGCAGAGAGACAGGCTTTGAAAGGGAAAATAAAACCTTCCTTGTCCAGAACCATGTAGTCTGCATGATCTGAAAGACAAGATGGGACACCGTGTCTGGATCTATTACCACCCTACAAAAACTACCATTAGGAAAACAGAACATTTGTCCTGAGTTTATCCCTCTGTGGTCACTGGCCACTATAAAATGGAAAAATGAGGAACACAGGTAGGAAGCAGGGACATGCCACATGGTTGGGAGCTGATATCAACTGAGTGGTACAAGAGGTTTGTTTGGTTTGCTCTTTATTTTCTTCTGGGCATATTTTTGTTCTATGGTAGACCCTTAATAAATACCACACTTCTAGCTCTGAGTGTGCTTGACCAAAGAGCTGTTAAAGAGACCTCAGAGGCTGCCCCTCTGCCAGGTTGTTGATGCTGCAGAAACACTCAACCAAGGCCCAGATTTTTAGTTAGATAGATGCATTCTGGTACCTCGTGGGATTTTCCCTTGTAGGCTGAACAAGTTTGAAATCAAATTAAAAAAACAGGGCAAGTAAGAACACCCACTAGGGCCTACTTGTGATTGTAGCACATAAAACTCAGGTTTCTCCCATGTAGGCTCCAAACTGGAGAATTCTCTTCCCTTACAGCTATAAGACAACAGCTGAAGCTCCTGTTGTCCTCCAAATTGTGCTTCAAGGTACATCCATGCATTCAGGCAGCCTGTTTTTTCCTCCAAACCTTCCAGATGTGTGAGAGCTACGAGCTGAGTATTCCCCAAAGGGACAGGCCTGAAGGAATTCAAAGTCCTTTGTTAGGCACTCTGTCAATGCTGTAAGCATCGCTATTTAATTGATGTACTGTTTTTATTATACGTGCCCTAAGGGAGTGTGCTGACCAAACTCTCTTGTAAATTGAATAAATGAACAAATACATAAGCAAGCATCATTGCCTTGACCAGCTCATGGTGTGACAGGAAAGTCCACGTGGTTTAATGTGGTTTTACACAACAAACAATCCAGCTGTCTGGAATGGCTTGTTTGATCCTCATTAACCCTGGCAGGCTCTTCCAGCTCCTTCCTCTACCTCAGCAAAGACAGAGGATGCCACTCTTACTTTTCAGATTTCTAAGGTCACTTTGCTGATTAAATATGTCATTTTAAAAGCTTCTTATAATGTGAAAACTGCCAATTTCCTTCCTTCATCTGGAGAAAGGGTGAAGAATTTTGTCATTTGCTGTTACAAGGAATGAAATAGTATCCTTCTATTCCCTTTCCCCTGTTGTTGACCCACCCCACTTCACAGCTCTGCAAAGTCACGATTTCTTTTCCTTCTTATTTGTGTATTGTTTGGACCAAAGTATTTCTTAAGTACATCTTTTTACAAAACCTTAGAAAATATATCTGCACCAGTCAGAGTCAGGATTACAGTGCAAATAAAAAAAAATAAAAAAAAGGATACCAGTTGGGGAGATAAGCTGGCTGAAGAGAAAGTGTAGAAAACAATATAGACATGAGAGCCATTACCCAGTAAGGGCTGGCCACCCAAAGCCTTGCACTGCTGCTTGAGCAGGTTTTGCAGCCTGTGCTCATTGCTGGGCTGCCTTGAAAAATGCGCTATCAGTGCCCCAGCTGGCTTGTACACACCTACAAGAACTGAAGCCACATGCTGACTGCAGTCAGGCCTTCATGCTCATGAATGTGAGCATGTGAGAGATTTTACAGCTGTGAGTCATCATCTTACCTACATTCATGTGCTCCTTTCCACTCTGGAAGGAAAGCACTTTCATTCACGAAAAGAAGAAATAAAAGTTTTAAGACAGATCATGATACAATCACACTCTTTTATAGTGTTCAGCTTCTTGTTATGAGATATGATTCCCCTTAGGCATGACTATAGAGTGTGGAAAACTGAGTTAAAATGGAAAACAGATTGTCCCAGCCACGCCTCTATCACTGCCCAGATCACATTCTCTGACTGTAGACTTCCCTCCTGGAGCTGCTTAAAGTTTTCAGGACAGTTATCCTATATTGTTTTCACACCGAAAAGCAGTAAGTGTTATTAGGATATGAGCTCTTTATTATAGAGCTTAAAGAGACTGAAGAAATGAAGATGGACTGAACATAGCCCACGTGTGTCCCAGAACTCTGTGCTCTTTTCCTTTAACTGCGTGGCAAAATCATTTTTGGGCAGTGTAGGTGCCATAGTCAGGTTTTTATGTGAGCCAAGCAAAAAGAAAACAATGTACCCTATTTCTCCCAAACATGTGAGGCCTCTGTTGTCCTTGGGGTAGATATTGGCCAAATCAAATAGAGAAAAAATAAAAATCAGGAAAAATGTCAGAGAAGGGGTATTTCTGAGGGGACATTTGCAGAATCCTTCCGTTTGAATATACACCTAAAATTGCTTCAGAATAGGAAAATCAGGTGGGATGCCTACTTCTCTCCCATGAAAAACTGGAAATGTTTGACCTTAACATATGATTAGCTGTTAAATGACTTTCAAAGAGACTTTCCTAGGATAATCTGCTTAGTCTTTAGCACCCATTTATCACTTCATAGTGGAGATTAGGGTTGATTCTGGAGAACAGCACTACTTAGAGTATCAACTACGTTTTTTTTCAGTTAAGTAAATTATTACTTTATGGGAATAATGAGAAAATTTTATGTCCTCTTTTCCTGTATGTAATGTATTGTTATGGAACAGGTGACCATGAAAGTCATTTAAGGAATTAGGGAAATAAAACACTCTACAACTGAGGAAAAAAATCACCAAAAGAACTGATGGACTTGTGGTAATCCAGAAGGTTCTTAAGATATTTCTGAATTATGGATATGGTGCCTGTCACTTTTTTTCTGCCAGGTATTGGCCTAGACACTGGTTCTAGGTAGAACCCCTGCAACTCACACAAGCCACATCCACAGTTCACAGCACTTGATCTTGGGTTTCCATGACACTGGAAATCCATGTTTCTTCTGTGTGTGTCTGAGATACTAAACATCCTGGGATTGTGTTGTTTCCAGACAACTGTGTAGTTTCCAGACCATGCACTTTCTTCTCTAGAAATTTTTGTGTCATATGCCCCAGAATGTTTGTTTGGCTCCAAAAGGAAGTGTGAATCCAAAAGGACGAGTAAATTTACATTATGCAGCATGTACAGTGAGAAGACGAGGCCCTTTGAATGAGCTTGGGAAGCTAAAGTTATACGTGGAGAGACTGACACTGGATTTTTATGAAAATGAGTCCTCATCCATAAGGAATAGCAATCAAGTCCTATGAGGCAGCTGAGAGATGGCAACCAGAATCTTCAGGATTAGAGAATGGAGTTTACAACTAAACCTTTGCCCAAAACGACATAGAACGAAGGGTAATGGTTATAAACTGAAGGAGCCATAGTTTAGATGAGATGTAAAGAAGAAGATTTTTACAAAGAGAGTGATAAAACTGTCACAGTTTGTTCAGAGACGTGGGAGATGCCCCATCCCTGGAAACATTCAAGGTCAAGTTGGAAAGGGCTCTGAACAACTGGGTTTAGTTGGAGATGTCCCTGAACACTGCAGAGGTGTTGGGCTAGAAGGCATTTAAAGGTTCCTTCCAACCTATCCTATGATTCTGTGATTCTGTGATTCTCTGACATGACTCTCATCTTGTTCTGGGACTTCCAAACACCAAATGCCCTCTTCAGCAAAGATAGTTTGCCAGAGCACCCTGTTGTGACTGCTTTCATGTTTTAAGCCTGAAAACACTCAAGGCTCGGGTTGATTGACAAATTACCTTAATTTAGCAATTGATTTCACCTCAAATGAATTATTCCCATATGTTTACTCTTAATCTATTGTAAACTCCTCTTTTACTGGAAATGAAATTAAATTGGCTCACATTTTTCATAGGAAAAGAGCACAGGCACAGTCAATCACATGCTCAACAGACATGTGGCATCACTTGACCATGAGTTCAAATATGTAGGTGAAAGTGCAGGGCAGTGGCCTTTATCTTTTGTTATTATTACCACTGTTTCAGCATTATCATTTAAAAGATCTTTGTCCTCTCATAAATACCTCCCTCAGGTTATTTCTGCCACTTCCTACCATATGAATTTTCCTATATTTCTTAAAGGTTAATGTCAGTGTACATCCAGCCAATGCTAGATTCTAAATCACATTTTTTCTCTCTGTTGTTTAGTGATTGCTGCGAATTAAATTTGTGCTATACTGCAGGAGATGAAAATACCACCCCAAAGGCTTAGTAATCAAAGTCAGATCACTAAAAATTGTTCTGGAGAGGTGAAAAAATAAATATATTTATCTATATATTAATTAAAATTTAAGTAACTCATCTTCAGGTATTATTGAAAATTACAGTGTTTTTCATTATTCAGCTGTGAATATAAATACAGTCTTGTTTTACTCTGGATGAGTAACAGAAACTGAATTCCTGTAATTCTATTATTTTAATAGGAAACCACTTTTCTGAATAAGATAAACTGCCAGACACAACCAATAATTATACCTTTTTTTCCCCTAGGGATATGCAACAGTGGTGTCTGTTTTAGACTATTGCATTTTCAACCATAGGAAGGAGCTAAAGTTACATAAATTTTCTAGAAGAGTACTTAGACAGCTGTTTACCTGAGACTGTGCTTGTTTCTGGCATCAGTCTGATATACAAGTTATTTTATAGTTGTGGTTGAGAAGTAATAAAGAAATTGCTGACCCATTAGTACACAATTTATGCTCGCCTGTATACCTCACAAAAAGACGCTTTCCTATTTTTTGAAGAATATTGCTAGTGATAACACACATATATGGCTTCAGTTTTACTTCCCTCACTGCATCTTTATGTGCAACAACAGATTTAAACAATTTAGCACATGAGAATAAATATTAAAAAGAGGCATTTATGCAGCTCCTCAGAGTTTAAGCATGCTCACACAGTTGAATCCTGCATTGATGTAACCAGGAACAAACACAGTCACACTTGGTTTTAATGGAAAATACTTGTGTTAATATTCCATGTATCAATGCCAGATTGAAATTAAGTGCTGTCTAACTTTAAAGGGTGCTATTCTATAAATTGGAGTTTCTAGGCTGAGCCAGGCACATGCTGGAGGGCTGACAAAAGTCAGAAGGTGGGAAACTGCCTCACCACTATAGCAGAATG